GACAATAACAAAAGTACTCTTAATATTATCGCTATATATTTCACGTGCTTAGTTTATATCTTTTGGTCTTCACAAACAAATACAACAAAGTGTATTTTTATTTTAACAGAAATTGAGGTTTCGTTTTGATTTATTGGTTTAATTTGAAAATATGACAAAAGAAAAACGAGGACAAACTATCTTCTACATCTACTATATAGTTTGGTCGTCATATAAACATGCTTCATGTCTTTCAAGTCTCAAGAGACTTTGACTTTATTTTCGTTTATAATATTTACTAATAAAAAAAATGTTTCGTTGAAAAAAATTGCTTATATTTTTAATCGTACTTATTTACACTTTAAATTATTTAATAACATCTTTTTGAATGTATACTTCGATGCGTTTTTATAGTTTTGTAAAAACAATGTTGGTCTTCTTTGAATTGTCTTTATAAGTTAGGATGCAAATAATAACCCTTAATTAAAACAAAGTCTTATCTTTAATATGAACAGTTAATAAATTTAAACAATCCTCGCCAACTAAACCTATAAAATCGAAACAGCATATTTTGAGGAGTCGTATTTCTTATTTTAAGATTCGTTTTCTTCTGGCAGCATGGTCACAAAATTGACAGCAATCTTATCTTATCTTAGTATGTTTTTTATTATTTTATTAGTCTCGCTAGTTCATCTTTTTATATTTTCACGAAAGACGATTTTTGATTTATCAAACGAATAAAGATTTGGCTTGTTTAGTCTAGGTTTACATATTGCTGAATTACGCACATCTATTTTTAATGTTAAATATGTGGTCCGTGACAAAGGCTCTTCGTTTGGAAAATGTTAATATGTATATTCGGGAATTTCTTAGAAATCATAATTGAACGTATAATTCATTTGAAATACTGGTCGTGTAGGGGTTAATTAGAAAAAGTATTAGAGAAACATATTACATATATAATGGGTAGTGTCTCAAGATGTTTTCCTATTTCTCAAAATGAAATTTGATGAATATATTTCTCAAAGAAAATAGAAACAAAAACCAATAGATATTAGTTTATTAACACTTCACTTTATTAATTCAGTTTCATACAGTTAATTAGTAAGTTTTATTGAATAGCATATCTCATATGTAATCAAAATAAGCACACGTAATAATTCCATTTGATTACAAAAAGAAACCCAAGCGATTGCGTGTTATGAAATATGTGTGCGTCTTTGACAATTTCTTGTCCTACTAACCCTATTTGAAAATAAGAATGTAGGATACTAATATAAAAGAAGTAACACTTCTTACTTAAAAAAGGATATCATTAAATGAAAGCCTTTATTACTGATGGTCACGATATGAATGAATCAAAGTTGTGATTAATCTTTATAATATTATTACGCGTAATTCCTTTTAATCAATGTTAAAACGCGAATTTAATTTCAATATTTTAAAAAAGCAATGTGAATATTACATATTACTTAATTAAGCAGTCTTGCAATTATGGTATTACTTGTTTATCTGTTTTATCCGACTTTTCTCCCATAAGGCTGATCAGGTTATCATAAAACTCTTTCTGCCAAATATCTAATATCAATGACAAAATGGAGTCTAATGTATAAAAATGCAGTCTAAATAATCAAGTTTAATTTGTATTGAATATGACACAAGTATACAAACAAATAATATTACTCATTCTTTCTTTCTCTATAATTTCGTTTCATCTAATATTAGGGGAAAATATTTTAGAACGAATAATCATAGATGATAAATTTATAATGTATTAATACATTTATCTATAAACAAGGCATACATCATCTATTTCAGCTGTGACATTATGTGTATAGTGCCAGGTGTTAATCGTTGAGCCGTGACATCATGATAACATTTTTAAATGTCATGACCTCCTGTTTCTGCTTGATATATTCACCAGAATATATTAAAGATGTATAAAAATAGATTTAGTTTTTAACAAAATAGTAAAATAATTTTGTAGAAATACAAACATATATATGTATATATATGCTTGTATATATAATATGAATATAATGAACATAAATAAATGTTGAACACACCTTAACGATCCAGACGTCACTAAATATCTTTTAGGAAGCCGTATTGTTGCTCGAAAGAATTGTGATATACTTGGACGCCCTTTGCAAATTACACCGTTCAATATTAGCTGATAGTCATTATTCTAGAATCAATCGCTTTTCTATTACGGAATATCCTATTTTCACGTTACGCCCTTTAATGGAATTGCTTGTATACTTTTATTAATTTAAGGCTTTACGTATAAAAAAATAAGCTCTAAAATTGTTTGAAACTTACAGAAGAGACAATAAAAGTGAGAGGCGATAAACGTGATCACATAGTAAATTTACAAAGAAACTGTTGATTCATGAAAACACATCTCGGTACAGTTACTATTGATCGCTAAATACACAATAGGGACAAGTTTATTATTAACATTTACTATAAAGATTTTTATTAATGTAACGGTGCTTCTTTTCTATTACTTTCTAAAAGAAATTCTAGAAAACAATCTTTTCTATTCAGTTCGTATACTTAAACCTTATTTTATGGGGAACTAACAACAAAGTAATGTTATTGGAAATCGAGTTTAAACAATGAATCAAAATTCACATATAGAAATGATTCATGTTATTTACACCATATATTTGAAACTTTTAAGAAATCACTAATCCCCTTTTTACACTGAACCTGTCAAATATTCCGGCTTCACCTGACTTTTAGTTTCAGATTTTACGTTAATACATATTGACAAATGGTATTACATTGCAGTACTTTGAAAAAAGTAAATTTAAACTATAGTGAACAATCGGAATTTAAATATTATTTTCACTAAAAAAGATTGACCCTACGGTTGTGTTTTGAAACGAAATTCAGGAAAAAATTACAATAAGAGAATCCAACTTTATAATAGGTGGCAGTTGGAATGGTAAAGCGTTTGTGACAGAAATTTAATGCACAGTCATGCACTATGGGAACAGTTTGGTTCGTTAACTTACAAATGGCTGGTTATGATAACACACGTTTTGTAACTTATCTGTTAGTTAGAATGTCTAATTGCATTTTAAATATAAAACTTTTAAATAATAAAATTGAATATATAATTAATTAAAACGTTCCCAATACCGATGTCTGACATTGTATTGTAAAATAATTCATAAATTCTTTTATCCTTTATTTAATAGCTGAAGTACGGTGTTGAATATTTGATCAAATTTATATTGGTGGAGTCCTAAAACAATATTTTAATAATAAAACTGAAGTTATTGAATATTTCTATATTATAAAAACCCGAGAGACTGGTGACGTTATTACAAGATCGCGTCGTGTCAACCCGAGACTGCATAATTACGAGAATTTTTTAATAAAACTTCCCTCGAACAATATCAACATCGTATAATTTTATTTTCTAATCCGTTGAACTATGATTTCTCTTCTCGCAAATATTTAATTGGCATGGAAAAATGCAAAAGTTATTTACATATTTTAACAATATGTTGAAAAATAAAATATACGTTTTAATTTTTGCGTAATTCTGCTTTAGGTACTACCAGACATAATTGATTTAATAAGTTATGTATTGTTATTGTTATGATTAGTTTTGCATTATTTTGATAGATATGAGGGAAAAAAAATAAGATATTATCGTCAATGGGTAGTCCTACCGGTACAGGTTCAATAATTATCCTAATGATTCTAATAGGAAAGATCTCCCAGACTAAACAAAACTTTAAATCCCTGATTTATATAATTAAAATTTAGTTCACTGAATAATCTTTTCAGTGTATTAAAGGAAATAGACTTTACATTATATGTGCACTTTAAAAGAATCGCGATTAACAAGAGGGTAACATAAATTACTTTGTCATAAACCTTTGGATAAGTTCAGAAAATGGAAATGATTTTCATAATAATCGGTCGCCGGAGGCATAAGGGACTTTTCTGTGTGAAGATATTACACTGTGTACTCTTTGAAATAAAAAATGTTCCCTTTACCTTTCGCGTTATGCCCTACTCCCACATGAAAATTTAATCAAAAGAATAAATAAAGAAGACACATTATTTTTTGTAATAACCAGCAGTCTATTTTAATAAAAAAGAAATTGAAATTTTTCGGTTGTCGAAATTTATAAATTTATTTTTAATAATAATATAATAGACATAGAAATAATATTATTATTGTTCCTTACGAAATATGAAGATGTTTGTACATGTTATGTCAATACTGAAGTCGAGTAGAGCAATAAAACATTTTTTTTGTTTATATTTTACTTAAGTATTACTTACTAAAATATTACTTAAACTTCTGAAGCTTTCGCTTAATGTCCTTGTATAATTTTTGTACTAAAATATATTTTAAGTCTTTTCCATTTCTATATAAATGTAAATCTCAGAATTCATTGCAATATTTTAACATCAAATATATGTCTCACTTTCAGCTTTCAGCTTTCATTTTACAAATATTTAATCTTGACTTTACATTTATCATACAAGGTGTTCGCGTACATTCTGCATTATGCTTTTAATGTGAGAGCTGAGTCTTATACCAAAATTAAGTACGGAAATTGTAGAAGATCCACAATTTCTGTTTAAGTTTGGCTAAATATTTTTGCTCTTTTATAAAACTCTTTACGTATTCAATGTAACTAAAAAATAAAATAAAATAAAGAATCAAATTTTTAAACTGCCAGCAAAATATAACTTTCTGATAAATAAATATCAAATATATACTTAAGTATTGATAGGAATTAAAAAGCGTTGGAATGGGACTTGAAAATGTTTAGAGAAAAATATATATTATTTTTAAAAGAAAAGTTATTATTTAACTTTAGACTTTATTTATTTTTTTAATATATTACAAAAATACTACCAAATATTAATAACCCTAGTCTATTGTGACAAAATTCTTAGTAAGAAAATAATTGATTAGTAAATTATATTAAATTTAGTTTAAAGGAATAATCTTATTTTTAAATAAGGTATCATAGTATATCACATCAATAAACGATATTACTTGAAAAATGTAATCCCGCATTATGGTATATCCAGCCGTAATGAGGAGCAACATCTGTGTAAACTACGTAGAAATTAGGAGAGCATAATTTGTGACCGGTAGGTAAGCCACATTTGGACAGAACACCTCGCAGAAACCAGGTCACTTTGTTGTCATCTCGAACTATTGGTAGCGCTAAGCCACCGCCACTGTCGCCATTACGAGGATTCACTCCTAAAATGAAAACGTTTTGTAGCATTTCGAATATTTAACTTTTGTGAAAATAATAACATTGACCTCTTGACAAAGAAAAATATCAGCACATACAAAAAGTAGTTCATATCAGTCGTTATGAAAATCACATATTATAAAAAGCTTGCGTTATTTTTCATATATACTGATGTAGGCTCTCTTTAAGAATATTATATTTAGATGAAGTAAAAACTCACCAACTTCGGGTCCCAAACCAGCACAAAATGTGAATTCATTTAGCAATGTGGAATATAAATTTTGGTTGAACGCAATGCAAGTGGTGTCATTTTGTATAGTGGTGTACGCAGATCTAAGAGTGTTTGAGAGTACGTCTTTTTCTGTTGTTCCAAACCCAGTCATCTATTTACAAAAAAACTACATCAGTTAATTTGAATGTTTTAAACACATGATTACTTAAAACTATAATGCAGAGGTCTGTTTGAAAAATCTATGTAACTTCAGGTACAATTTCCAATACAAATATGAAGAGGAAAACCATAAAGTAATACTATATACATATATTACCATAGCTGTCCGCCCAAAGAGCGTTATTTTGTCATACACTGGCCCCCAAATACAAATTGGTTGGACATATTCAGTGTACCGTAGTTTATTGACCACAAGAATAGCGAGATCTGAAGTAGCGTGTTCTATACTGTAGTCGGGGTGCAAGATCACTTTGTCAACCTATAAATAATAGAAGTGTATTAGAACATCACTCATCAGTCTTTAGTTTATATATGAATAGCAATAATTTTGCTAATCTCATAAGGACAAAAAAAATCATTTTATAAGTATATGAATATAAGAATCACTTTCTAAATTTGATTATTAGTTAAGGAATGAAACGAAAAATGCAATCCAATTACGTTTAGTATTTGTTTTCCTTTTTGGTCTTTTGCTCTGAGATCGACCACACCAGCTTCGATTACAAGTTTTTCAGTTTCAATACGTGTCCCATTTATGAAAACACAATGCCCAGCTGAAAGAAGAAAACGACGTAAAACGCGTATTGTAATATTCATATAAGTGGAGATATAACTTTTTAATAAAATGCATGTAACAAGACAGAAAAAAATTTTGTAAATAAGGAAGCTTATATACCAGTGAGAATGGCGGTACTAGAAATAATACTTCCTCCACATTGGTAGTTGGCGAGATTTTTTTTTTCACTCCTTATCAGTATAGCTACATGCCATGGCCAGTCACCAGCCTTGGCATCTCCCATGACTTGATTAACTTCTGAGCTTTTTAAAGACCGGTGGCCGCATATATAATTAAATGTGTTGTCATTTTCTTTTGTCACATTATAGGACGCAACATTTATCGTTTTCTGGAAAATCGACACATCATTTGTATTTGTATAATACTTACATCTCTTTTTATATTAGAAATAAAATATTGCAAGGTTAATGCTTATAGAAACAACATTTAATTAATTCAAAACATCAAAAAGGCTCCGAAAAATTTACACGTGCAAACCAATTTAAACAGACTTAAATTATTTCAAATGTTTAAATACTATTAAATGAAATTAAAAATTACATTACCTTCACAGTTTCGTTACACAGCACCATATTATTCAATGTAATACTTGAAACTTTCGGTATGTCCGTACTGGATCCGTTGACAATTTTCATATAAATACTATATTCATTAGGAATCGTTTCCAGCGAAGTAAATGTGTAAGTATTCGACTTTTTATAAAACTTGATTAAAGACTTTATTGGAACCTGTACAAAAAAGCATAATTATAGAACTTTACTTAGTCTGTTGACTTTATAAGAATTAATATGATTATAAATCAAAAATATACTTTTAAATAAAAAAAAAAATATAAGAGCCTGTTTTTTTTTCAATAACATTTATGAACACAAACATAAAATATTTACCGCCACAATCTGCATTTCTTGTTCGAATTGAATAGATATATTAGCTTTATCTAAATTATATAAACTGACTTTTATATTTGCGAGCCAAAAGTTTGAAGTAAGGTTTTTGAAAAAAACAGCACCAAGTCCGCATGGCCGGTACCATGTCGCAACCGGCCCCACGAGGGACATTGAATGCACTTCCAAAACAAACAACGCTAAAACTAAATATATTGCCTTCATTTTTAACACTTTAAACGCAACAAATTCAACAATAGAACATCCGAAACAATCGCTTATAAACTTATAACTGGGTTTTCTTTTTAATAACTTTATCTATACTAATGATAATTTATATACAGTATGATCAAAATCAAGTTATGTCTTTAAAGACGTTTCGCCTATAAACTGAACACAACTCCGATTAAAGTGTTCGCATAATGATCAGTTTTTATAAGTGTAAGTTTTCAGTGACTAATTAGGGTCACATATAACATTATGTCACAAAAACAAATAAAAGATATTACAGAAAATATAATCCGGTTATTAATAAAAAAATATTACATCAGTTAGTCATGAATGTGAACAAAGAATTTATTAATAATATTTATACAAAAGACTTCACCAGTTGCGATCTAATTACCCACTGGCCTAAAATTAATTGTATGAGCATATTCTCACTGCTTTTGTTTCATATGTTATGTATTCTTTTATAATTTATATGAGTAATCATATTTATATGCTTCCAGTACATACCCGTGAACCTGGTATTTTTCGCTCGGGAATTATGTTGGGATAAACGGTACTCTGCTTCTTGCTACACTGTATGAAAATAATTATTCATACATATATAAAGAATAAAGAGATTCAAACTTAAAACATCTAGAATTAGCTACATAAATATTTTTAAACCACTGTATATATAGATAACTTTTGATGACCCTTTGTTACATAGAATCTTTTATCACGTTCGTTTTTTTTTTATAATTAATGAACAGAAAAACAAGACAATTGAAGCATAATCAAAATAAATAGAATGTAAAGTTTTGTACTTTTTAGTTAGAGAATATATTTTTTATTCAAAAAATGTTCATTTGAGGAAAGCACGATAAACTTCTAGTTAACATTGCATTGAAAAAATTCAGCAATTGTAGAATAGATTTCTAACGGAATTGGAACTAACTGAAGCTCTTTTTAAATGTTTTATATTTTTCAGTCAATTTATTAATAATTAATTTGTTAGGAAAACGACAAGTCACGTTGACTTAAAAGATTTCGTAAATTATCTTCTAAAATTAACTTTTTTATCGCTAACATGATATTCATATATATTGTTATGGCATGTCTTAATTAAAAAAAAATGTTCATTAATATTTGTGAAATAGAAAGCAAGTCAAGTCGGACTTGTACATAATGCGAAACCGCAGTTTCAAAAGCATTCCAATGTGAGGGTGCTTTGAGTGATATAAATGTCTAAATTTTTTAAGAATGTCAGCGACGTGTATTATTTTGCTTTGACTGTCATAAAGTTGTAACAATTGGTTTATGCATACATACATTTCTAAATGAAAGATACTGCTTCCAGGGAACAAAGAGCAAATAAGAATTTTATACATCATGGATTTTCTATGAATGTCTTTACTTACTTTTTCGTCCATACGCAATGTTTATAACATTGATATCTTTTAACATTTCACGTAAATGTCTTTATGAACTTCGAGAATTTTGTTAGAAACAAGACATCTTACTGATATATTACTAAACTAAGATCTATAATGTAGGTAACTTGAATTCTCATTGATACTTATAATAATACTAGTACAGTGACATTATCACTCCCAGTTTCAGGGAGCATAAAAACAAATCATTTAAAAAACTTACCATTGTTTTTAATTAAGACAATGGCGTTTCAATTCACCCAAAAAATAACATAAAGCAAAAGAAATAAGGAGTACGGTTTCGTACCGAGATCAAAGCGTTATTTTTTCTTAAGGAGGCGAAAGATCTTCATCTTTTTCTTGCATGACAAAGACGAAACTTTCGAAAGCCGTCCTCAAGAAATTGCACAACTTTAATCCCAGCAAGTTCCTTCGAGCGTCTGATTTAAAACATTCACATTTAATCACTTACGTTATTCGATAAAAAAAAACGATAATAAATTTTATAATTTGTATATTGTTATAAAACATGATTATATCTTGAATTAAATAATGACTCTTGTAAACTGATATTAAAGTATTCGACATCATAGTTGTAATAATCAAAAGGCTATAAAGAACAGAAAGAGCCTTTTATAGTTATTGATACCGCAACAAGACTTTCGAGGACTTCGATATCTATATAATTGGGTCAATTGGTGATATTCTAGGCAAAAACAATACCTAGTGATATAGTGTATCAATGATGAATTTATTTCAATTAATAAGTGACGTTTTAATGACCCTAATAGTTGTTTATGTCCAATTCAACAGATGACGAACAAGTGCGATGCTTCTAACGAGTCTTAATTGTAGCTGTGAATTAACTACAGTATCACGAAACACTTCGACCCCTGGTTAATTTTATTGTACTGTTTACATTACAATCATTAATATATGAGAATATTGCCCGTTAAATTATATTTGTATGCAAAAAAATATTCCAAATATATTAGATCGAAAAATTAAACACATTATTTCTTTGTAAACAGTAACTAGATGAAACATTTAAAATCCTAAATGTGATTCTTGTGCTATAAAAATGATGTATGACAGAACGTAATATAATTCTTACAATTTTACAATCAGTATTTACACCTCAAAACAAGCGATGATCATTACTAAGGGATAAATAAAAATAAAGTAAGATTTTTTGAGTTGAACATAAATTTATGAATTGAATAAAAGCTACTCAGATATTCTCATCTTCAACTCCCTTCTACTTTTTCGTAAAATTTTCTTATCAAATTATTTTTTGGCAAAAAGTAAAAGATACTTTATGTGATAAAATCTTATACAACGAAAATTGCTTGAAAACAGTCCTTTCAGTTGAATTAAATTTCTTCTTTCTATAATCAATAATGCAAATTTACAATAGTTTTCATTATAAAGAATAATATAATGCAAATATATTTCATAACATGGAATATAATAAATAGAGAACAAAGAAGAAATTATATAACAGAAAATATTCTTATTATTAAATATCTTAGATACAAAAGCTACATTTCAGCTTTATTAACACGAAATTAACAACATTTTTTAATTCTTATTTCTGTAACGGTACATATTTTAGTATATTTCTTTGTGTTTTTTCTATCAAACGAATTAATATAACTAAATAAGTGTTTATTAAAACGATATTCATTAAAACGATATTGCTTTTGTAGATAAAATATGGTCTTACAAATTTCATTAATATTAAACATACAACAAATAAGAACTCAAAGTTTTCTCTCGTACTTCGAAATATTCCAATACACCATGCAAACAATGTTGTTAAACGAAGAATTCTATTTACAAATGTTGTACGTATAGCATTTACACAAGATTAAACTTAAAATGGGTAATATTTTTCAGACGGAGTTGAAAAGTTTCCTTTTATCATGATTGTAAAGGGTGGCATTCGTCCATGAACACATTTGAAATTATCAAAAAAAAAGTATGAAGTTTTTAAAAACATTACTTAATTTAATCGTAATAATTGTATAAAAACAAACATGTTTGATATAAAAACATATGTATATTTGAACCAAATTATATCCTTATATTTAATGATTGAATTTAAGCACCAACGTTTTGATGACCATGATGTTAAATTTTAGCAAAAAAATCCATTGGAAACCGTTATAAGAATAAGTGCTGATATTGTTTATGTTATTTAGTTACAATAAATCCTTTAGATGCGGTCAAATCTGGTACATTAATCAGAGTATGGACCGTTTCGCAATACCGAGTAGTTACGTGATTTATTGGCTCCCAGCCGGAACTACCGTCTACCTGTCTGGCTTCTTGTAACGCCTTATTAACGCTGTCTAAGGAATACGAAATAATATATGCTAATCGGATTTGAACAATACTTAATGTTCACACATAACTTGTATTCATGTTTTGTAAAACTGTAGTAACACTTTACACATAAACTAAAACAAATTAAATAAAGTAAGTAAAAAAAAAAGTAATATAATTTTTATGTATGTTAATATATATTAATTTAAATTAAAACTTAGTCTATGTTAGTCTTTTCTACGAGTAAAATCGCTAAACCTTTTAAAGTAATTTAAGCATTAGTATATATGATTGTAATTATCACAAAACAAAATAGACAACCTATCTTCCCTTATCTTTAAAGGTAATATTTTTAAAAACTTGAATGATAT